CTTGATGAAGTTACTAAAACTGATGTGAACCCCACTTGAAGCAGAAGCCAACGAGACGGAGACCAGTACGGAAGAAGATACGTCTCTTAAAACTAAGAGTGTTGTATTTTAATTTTGTGTTTGTAAATTCTGTACATTTAATTAAGTTATTGTTAATTGTTTATTGGTTTAATGTAAGTGGCTATTGTTCGGGACGAACAATACTAAGGAAGTGGCAGTGTTACGACAGCGGGGGTCACGTGACGCTAGTAACACGTCATATTCTCGAAGGTTCGTGAAGCCTCGAGAGGTTACTAGATATGCGGTATTCTTGTATATATAAGCCGCCAAGAAGTGACGGCAACAATGTAATGTAATGTGTAATTGAACTGCAGACAGAGATAGATACGGACAGTTGAGTCGAGCACGACTCTGAAATCCGTAGGCACTGCATCTGGCAACCTTGCCGGTATGTTTTCATAAGGAATACATATGTCTATTTAGGCGTACAAAAATAACAGTTCAGATCCATCTCTTATTTCTCATGAATCACTGCCCAAAAGACCCTTTGTTTATCACTAGAACTCGACAGTTGGGCCGGATGATGAGAGACAAAATAATGTAATTCCACAATTATCACATTACTCGTTCTTCTGGATATCTAGAGTTTCTAGAAAGGTATTCAAAACAAGCTCATTATAGCGTGTGCAAAATATAAAAATGAAATGTTCTAGATGTGTAATTAACAAAACAATATTATTGACATTACTTTGAAAGTCTACAGTATAAGCCGTATCAGTACACCCCCCCCCCCCCCAGTGGCTCAGTAGTAAGTCTGAAAAGCTATTACCCTAAAAAAAGGGTTTTGATACTCCTGGTGGGCACAGCACAGATAGCTCATTATGCAGCTTTGTGCTTTAAAAAAAACCAAGCGGTAAATATTCAGTTCAATTTCACAGTTTTTTATTTGTTCAGTATGATGGATTTCTATTCTGATTGAACATGATAATATGTTACGAAATGTTATGTTCGAGTCTTGAAAAAATTAAATAAACGCTTTTGTATATATTAAAGTAATTTATTTCTTACACCCAAAAATAATAGCATTCGTTACAGAAATTGCAGTTTTAAACACTAGATGGCAGCAAAGAGAATAATGAACATAGATAAAAGCACACAATTTTTTCCTAATATAATTTTGTAGACTATCATATTCAATAGAGAAGGTGCTAATTGCTATATAATATATATATATATATATTCTCTTTTTCTAGTTCTAGTGGATAACGGAAAGAAGAAATAGTTAACACTTCCGAAAAGTAATGCACAAAAAAACGAAATATCCCATCTAACTCTCACAAAATTAAATAATTAAACAAACTATATTAAAAGTTGCTTGCCTCAGTTTCTTTTTTGTAGAAATATTTCCACTTTTGGAAAATAATAAATCATAAGCAAATTGTTTTTCTCGTGAGAAGTATAAAATAGAAAGCTTTTAGAAACTTTTTTCGTTTTCCTGCCGTTTTTCATCTTTTTTCCAATATAATATGATGTGTTCAATACAGCATTAGGGCTTCGAAACATACTAATAGCACATTATTTCATGTTGTTAGCGTATTCAACGTCATGAATGAAAACTGCGCTACAATTTTTCCGAACAGTTTAATTTCAAAAGGCTGTAAAACCATGAGCCTTAATAAATAGCATCAGTTACAGTGACTTCTTCAAAACGAATTACTTCAATTAAAAGTTTCTTTTAGTCTCGAAAAAAGGTTTTATGTAAAACTGCGTTTCAAAATCATCTTTTTTTATTACAGAAGCAAATATTTATTACGAGAAGTATCGTTCATACTTGTGCTCAGTTAAGATTAGAACTTGTTTTAAAGTCAGTGTTCAGGGCACTCAGTCTGACCTAAATTTCAATTATCGTTTTATAGAAATAATGTATTTTTTCCCTTGTTCTGTTCTGTATTTAAATATTGGATATATGTAGACTGTTATTGTTTTATGACATATTTTATTGACCTTAATACACAACGTCCTCTTGCGGTACGTTTAAATTCTATCAACACATGATAATGTGCGAATGCAGACTAGATGCATGTGTAAGTCAAGGTCCTATATTTGAAAATACTCGAGCACGTACAATAGGAAAGAAAGTGTCAAGTTTCAGGTTATGGTAAGTACTGTCATTTGTTTATTTTAGGCTTAGATGAAAGCCAAGGCGAAAAAATAGCGGTGTATTATAGTAGAAACGTCTTTTTAAACAAACAATTAATCTAAACCTAGTTTTCAAACAATAAATTTATTAATAGGATTCCTACAATACGGTATTAGGTAGTGGCACAAACATTTCAATACTTTTTAAAATTTGTTTCATTTACATGAAGTTAAATTCACTCCTATTGTTTAGTTTTACAAGGTTTTCTGTTGTACTTTCATGGTATTGCATTCTGTGCTCTAGTGTTACCACATAGTATATATATATATATATATTCAGTATGTGATTTTTTATGTAAAAAAGGCATTTTTAGAATAATACTGGATTTTGTTTCAATATTCAAAATGTTGAATAACAAAATCTGTACAATTTTAAATAGAGCGCTATGTGTAGAATATTATTGTAATTAGTGGGGCAGTGTTCGTTTGAGTTATCAAAAAGTGCCTTCTCAGAAAACGCCTCTAGGTTAAACCTTTAGCTCAGTTGGAAGATCCCCATCCCACCAAACATGCTCATCCTTTCAACCATGAGGCATTATAATGTGATGGTCAATCTCACCAGTCATTGGTAAAAGAGTAGCCCAAGAGTTGGTGGTGGATGGTGATGACTAGCTGCTTCCCTCTAGTCTTTCACTGTTAAATTAAGGACGGTTAGCGCAGATAGCCCTCGTGTAGCTTTGCGCGAAATTCAAAACCAAACCAGTTGGAAGAGAAGCTGGAGATACAAAATAATAATAATAATAATAAAATAGAAAAATGTATCGCCCAAAGAGGTCGTCACATGACCCTGAAAAAAAGCCCGAGGACAGGCCTTGTTCGTTATTTGGGTGCAATATGGTAGCATGAGTTATAAAAAAATGCCTTTTTAGTTTAGTTAGTGGATTTCTCGCTCGACGGGTTCAATCTTGGATGCAGGAGACACAAAAATTAAAAAATGTAATAAATGCCATAAGAAAAATTACAGCCCAACTATTAGCCGTCCCGGTATGAGAACGAGCATTGTTTCAGAGAGGGGAAAGAATACAATAATTTGAGTGTTAAAAAGTGTAATACTAGCAAATGGTACTCTGTTATCCATTTAGTGTCCCCCGGTGGGACAGCAGTAAGTCTTCGGATTTACAACGCTAAAATCAGGGGTTCGATTCCCCTCAATGGACACAGCAGATAGCCCAATGTGGCTTTGGTATAAGAAAACGCATACACTAACCATTTAGTTCAACTGGCAGAGTTCTCACGTGAGAGATGTCCCGGATTCATATCCGGCATAGGAGAGATTGGAACAATTGAAGTTATAAAAACATATCACAATAATCGAAATCAAATTTTCCAGTAGTTTTAATTTCAAGGTATACGAATGAAGCAAAACACATTTAATGGCACCCAAAATGTTTTTAAGCATTTGATTTATAATGCTGTTCGTGAAATAAATGTGTAATCTTTTATTAGTTTTTATCTATTTTGGAAGAAGTTTGAATTTCTGAATGTGTAGTTAAAGATTCAAATAATCTCTAGATAGAAAAAGTAAGGGTTTTACTTAGTTTAACTTGATGCTTAACATTAGTCTGTTTTAGTTATTACTTTCCAAGTATTAAAAATACAGGGATTGTATATAAATGAGTAGCAATTCAAATGTCATAAAAATTTGATCTGAAATGGATCAAATCGCCTTAAAAGAAGGTTACGTAGTAGGTTATGCGTGGTATGATATTTTGTATTTCTAACTTGATGTTTGTTTTGAATTTCGCGCGAAGCTACACAATGGCTATCTGCGCTAGCCGTCCCTAATTTAGCAGTGTAAGACTAGAGGGAAGGCAGCTAGTCATCACCAACTGTTGGCCTACTCTTTTACCAACGAATAGTGGGATTGACCGTCACATTATACCGCCCCCACGGCTGAAATGACGAGCATGTTTGGTGTGACGGGGATTCGAACCCGCGAACCACAGATTGCTAGTCGAGCGCCCTAACCACCTGGCCATGTCGACTTTTAACGTGAATAGCACATAATATGACACATTGACTATACGATCAGGTCAGGTCCAAACATAGTTGTCCCTAATTAAGAACTGCTGAACAGAGGGTAGACAACCAGTCAGAAGCACCTGTCGCTTAGAGGATTCACAAACTCATTTCTCAAATAGCGAGACTGATTTTCACTTTTGTGATGCACACACAGACAAGTATGCTAACCATTAAACCCACGTCTGACCTGTTTCTGTACGGATATGCTTTTTTATGTTATTTTTCAACAAAATTGAAAAATAAAACTAATAAATAGAATAAATGTGTCTGTACCCAATGACCGATTTTAATCGCAATGTTACACAATTTTTTTTCAAGAGCATTCAGGTCAGTGCCGTTCAGAGAAGTCTTCGTAACAGGGACAAATCTTTTGTTTGCGCCCCACCACCCAAACTTCATTTCAAGTTTTTATAGGACCTTATTCTCCCAAGCTATCCACAGTAAATGTATTAGCAATACCACCAGATAGCTTGTCCCATGAGGTATCTCCCTTTTTCTCCCAAGTTATCCACAGTAAATGTATTAACAATACCACCGAAAAGCTTGTCCCTTGAGATACCTCCATATTTCTGTAAAAATCAAGGAGTTTAAGAAAAGTTACCCCTAAAGAAAGAAAAGAAGGTGTCCATATTTTCGTGCTAGTGATATATATATATATATATATTCCCCAATTTTATATCACAAACGTTCTGTTCAAACATGGTACTTTACATGTCCTATTTCAGTACATTGTGACATTTTTTATGTATACCAGCATGACTCGCACTATATCTATCATGGTAAAATAGAAATGTGTGTTCCTTGTATGTGATTGCCTATAAAACTAATATTGTATATTGATCTATGAATTTTCACTGAAACACATGATACGCATCTAGTAAATTGGATACAACAGCTTTACTGAAGTAATGAGACGAGTTATTTTTGTATAAAAAAACATGGCATCATACAACAAGAAATATGGTGGTACACACGTGTGACAATTTTAAAACTGAGTTTGTTTGAATTTAAGCGCAAAGCTACACCATGGGTATCGAAACCCGGTTTCCAGCGTTGTAAGTCCGCAGACATACCGCTGTGCCACTGGGGATTGTTTGTTTGTAATTAAGCACATAGTTACACAATAGGTTATCTGTGCTCTGCCCACCACGGGTATCGAAACCCGGATTCTAGCGCTGTAAGTCCGCAGACATACCGCTGTGCCACTTGGGAGCTTAAAACTAAATAGTTCACCAGTTCAACGTTGATTAAACTTTGTCCAAAATATTATCTTTTATTTCTAAGATGGAACAAAAACAACCGAGCTTCTGTATCATCTAAAGTGTGCCAAACCCCCTTTTCACAAATGTCACGGAAATTTTGACGAAAACACTCTCCTGTTCCCATTATTCGCGGATCGTGGAGTTGTTCAACAAAAGACTTCTTCTCAGCAAAAATCAGAGGGTGGAGTTGTATTTTGTTAAATTTAATGACTAAAACTGTTTTTGCTTGAGTGTTCTTTCTACTTATACTTAAGAAAATATTTTTATTTATCTGGTAAAGTTAGGCATATAACGCCTTCTGTTTGTTGAATCACTTTTTTATTTTAAATTTTTCGTCAAATAAAAGCTAATCAATATATCAACAATCCATATATAGAAGGTTTGTCGATTTCTGCTGTAAAAAATTTTAAGAGCTACAAATTTTATCGCTAATATTTTCTAGTGCTAAAAATTTGATTTTCTCTCCAAAAAACAGAATTCGTATTTAACGGTATAAGAAAAATCCAAAAATAAGCCCAACACATTTCTAACTATGGAACTTTCACTATTTATGTATAGTAAAATGTATTTTACATAATTCCAATTAATCTCCAGTTAGACAGTTAATACCGTGTTAAACAAATAGGATTACTACTCTGTTTAATTAAGTATGAGGTTGGTCTACGTCTATAGCTTTTGAAATATTTTACTTTTAAACCAAAATAAAAATCAACATATAAGTACCAAAGCACAACTTGTGATAAACTGATGTCCTGATATAATGAGAAAACTAACAAAAATTAACCATGAGGAGACAGTATGAGCATTGACCAAGTTAATTGGAGAAGTATCACAGGGGCAGAAATATTTTTAAAACATTATTTCATACCAGCCGCGACCCGCAAAACATTTGCGGTAGTTTTTATGCAGTTCGCTTGAATTTTCCTTATTCTATCATTTTAACGCACAGCATTTAAGCTACGCTTTCTTGCAGGTCATTATGTGTTAAATCGATAAATCCTGGTTTATTTGATAAACTTTTACGCAGTGAGACAAACAAACTCACGTAGACGTAACTTTATTTAATGAAACTACATGTAAAGTAAACAATAAAGTATTGTAACGGTATTTATAATAGCGGGAAGAGTATGAAACAGTTATGAGCGTTTAGTGTATGACACCGTTTTAAAGTTGAAACAAAGAAACTACACAAAAACGTAAAATAAAACCAGTACTAAGAAAAAAAGTAGCTAAAAGGTGTTAATAGCAACCTATGAAACGCACAAAAGCTAAATTATTGCAAAGTAAATGTAAAGTTGTAATGAAGGCAAACTTAGCTGAATGTGCAGAAACGTCTGAATGCGTGTTCACAAAGTGAAAAGTCTATAGAAATTGTGTTTAGTGTAATGTACATTTTTTTTAGGATTACACGCAGGTTAAGTGTTGTTTGTGTGAAATACTTTGCAAATACAAAACTAAAGTTGTAATCGAAGCCAGTAATCACGTGACGACAACGACATTGTGCCATCGTGTAGCATACTCGTTGCATTAAAAGGTTTGACTAAGCAGAAACACGGGTAAGGTGATTGATTCTGAATGGAAAAGCCAATATGCAATACGGACTCCTCGGACAAAGGTTTTCTAATTATATGAAACTTGTTGCGTTTGATCGAGAAATTTGCAAGAAAAGTTTAAG